GCGGAGACAACTAGGCTCTTTGACCAACTGAGCCAGGCGACTCTTGACGCGCAGGCGCAGTTCCCATCTGCGGAGATGGTCGTGTTGGGGGACTTTAATGCTCACCATGAATCATGGTTGAGTTCCCTCAAGAATGACCATGCAGGAAGAACTGCCCACGCTTTCGCTCTCACGCATAACTTGACCCAACTGGTAACCCAGCCCACCCGGGTTCCAGACATATCGGATCATGCACCCTCTTTGCTTGACCTTCTGCTCGCGAGTCACCCTACTGGCGGCGCCGTATACAGTATACAGTATCAGTCAGCGCCCCCCTTGGAAGTTCTGATCACTGTTTTTTTGGGTGTAAGGTTTCCCAAATGCCTCCAACTAAGCTGAAGGAGGTCACTCGTCGCATTTGGCACTACTCGTCGGCGGATTAGGATGGTATGCGCGACTACTTTGCGTCCACCCCTTGGTTGCAGCACTGCTTTGCGGGAAAGGATGCCTCAGCAGGTGCCCATGCTGTTGTCGATGAGATTGGAACGGCTATGGATTACTACATACCGTCTTCCAGTGTCATCGCCAATTGCAGAGGACGCCCTTGGTTCAATCGCGAATGCATGGCGCTGTTAGTGAGAAACAGGCTGCATATCGTGGTTGGATCAAGGGTCGTGTAACAAAAGATCCCAACCTTGCGTCCCTTAAAGCAGCCTATAACAAAGCAACCAAGTTTTGCAGGAGGGCTTACATAAGAGCGGATGCCTAGAGCGTTTCACGGATTGGCCAGAAGCTGGTAGCCCATCCCACCGGTAGCCGTGCCTACTGGAGCCTGGCCAAAGCCGTGCAGTCCAATTTTTGTCGTTCGTCGCTGCCGCCTTTGAGGTATCCCAATGGATTTTTGGCCTATGGCCCTGAAGAGAAAGCCAATTTATTGGCCGACCTTTTTGGGGCTAACTCGCGCATTCACGACCAAGATGCGCAACCGCCGTCAATTCCCCACTGCGGAGTCACAATGTCTGATATAGTTATCAGACAATGTGATGTCCGCAAGGAATTGCAGACTCTTGACGTGCGGAAGGCCTATGGTCCGGATGGGATACCTCCTATCATCCTTAAAAGGTGTGCGGCGGAGTTGTCTCCCGTACTGACGCGCTTATATCGCCTCTCATACCAATCTGGTAACGTGCCCCTAGCTTGGAGGGAGGCCAACATGCAACTTATCCCCAAGAAAGGAGATCGGTCTGATCCGCCAAACTATCGCCCAATAGCTGTCACTTCAGTGCTCTGCAAAGTGATGGAGCGGATTCTAAATATCCAGATAATCCGGCACCTGGAACGTCACTCCATTCTTAATGATCGACAGTACGGGTTTCGGACGAACCGATCAACCGGTGACGTTCTAGCGTATCTAATGCATCTCTGGGGTGAAGCTATTGACAAACAGGGCAAAACCTTAGCGATAAGTCTGGATATTGCTAAGGCCTTTGATCGGGTCTGGCACCGTGGTCTCCTCTCCAAGCTTCCGGCATATGGTCTTCCCGGCCGCCTTTGTGAGTGGATCTCCGGCTTTCTGCGCGAGCGAAGATTGCATGTACTTGTTGACGGAGGCACTTCGCGGCTCGTGACAGTTAATGCAGGGGTGCCACAGGACTCCGTGCTGTCGCCCACGCTGTTCCTTCTGCATATCAATGACTTATTGTCTTTTGGCAACATTCATTGCTATGCAGATGATAGCACAGTGCACGGTTGCTATTATAAGCAATCGTCAAGCAGCCGGGAGGACCCTGAGAGAAACCGGCAAAAACTTGTCGCTGAGCTCAACCATGTTTTGGAACATATATCGTCGTGGGGCTCCCGAAACTTGGTTGAGTTAGACGCCAAGAAAACCCAGGTATGCGCGTTCAGCTCCAAAAAATCCCCATTCCTTCCACTTCCCTGTCTTCAGGGTACAACGCTGACGCTGCAGGACAAGCTCAGCCTACTGGGGATGAGCATCCGGAAGGACATGAACAACAAAGAGTATATCGAGAGCGTCATCTGTACCGCGTCGCGTAAGCTTGGCATCCTGAACAAGGTGCACCGATTTTTTACTCCAGAGCTGCGATACCAACAACAATTCGTTTTTATGCCGAACCATCAAATTGTGGAACCAACTCCCGGCGCATGTATTCCCTCCCCTCTATAACATCGAGTCCTTCAAACGTAGTGTGAAGAAGCATTTGGCCAGACCGGCAAAATGATAGTGACGGAGTGAAGATATTTGTGTTTTCCATCCGTTACTCTCGTCTCTGGACTGTATTCGCACTTTCCACCAGGCGCGGTGCAGTCATTTTGCCAAGTCACAATAAAAAAAAAATAAAAAAAAACTCTTTCATCTTTGTGGCTATTCACATTGTTCGCTGTATTCATAGTGCGGACAATTCTTGCGAAACTATTGAACAATAAATACAGTGGAAGTGTTTAGTTCGCGTGGTACGTATGCCAACAGTATGCAAAGTTTCACATACTTCGCTTTGTGCGTTATTACAATTAACTCGCGCAAAACCTCGAAAATCGCAGAAAAAAAAACTTTATTTTGCTACTTTGGAGTGCAAAAATTACAGTCGCACTTGTAAAATTATCTGTGGGGGTATTTCATGTCATCGTTATGTCTTATTTTATTTAATTTTAATACATTTCAATTCATACAAATCAATTTTCTCTTTACCGTAATTTTTTTTTACATGACTTCACATTGATTGAAATTTCAATATAAAATCAAAATGTCGTAACTTGTAATAATAGATATTTAACTTTCAACGACATGCCAACAGTGTAGCGTTTACATTATTTAATTATATTAGTAGTCCAGAATTTGTTATTTCTTTTTAAATTAGAAAGTACCATATTGTAAGCATTCTATGAAGTGCATTGCCGAGGTATAGATAATGTTTTTCTGTGGAACAAAATGAACATTCAGAAGAGTGTGTAAGAAGTAAAACACAATGGAAAAGGAAAAAAAAATTATTTTGTTATTAAAGAAACGTTAAAAATATTATAATAAACAAAATCTTCTACCGTAGAGCGATGCAATTTCTAAAGTAACGATTTGGTTGCAGTTAATGCTCTACTTAATGCTTATAAATGAAAAATTTAACCTGTTACACACAGGTTTTTTTATTACAATTAATATTCATCTTCTGTATAAAACAATATGTATAAGAAAAAGGAAAAAGTGGAAAAGGTAATTAATATTTTTACTTTATTGGTCATAACGTTTGTATATTCTCTTACGACGCATATGTCCTTATCTTACTCGCTATAGAAATAATTTACTGTCTCTGTCTTCAGGTAGTAACTGCTATTTATTAGAGTAAACAGGAAAATTATTAAAATGTAGCAATGTTGTAAATATTTTTGCTAACTTACACGTGGTATGAGAGTTTTGTATTTTATTTACCTTAATTATTTATTTATTTTATTTATTTATTAATTACAAAAACATTTTCTTAATCTAGAACATAGTCCCACAAAACTGAATTATTTAGTTTGACTGTGGGATCAAAACATGAATCTCGCTATTACACTAATAATTAATCTAAACTAGTCAACAAGTGCTGAAATAAAAGACGTTTAAATTTATTTTTCTTATGTTCACGTCTAATAACCTCAGGGAAACTATTCAGTAGGTACGGAATTCGTTTTTTTAGGGTTCTATCTCCATAATAATTTTTAACCTTTGGTACTACATATTTACTTGAGGTCATTGATCTCGTGTTACAGTCATTATTAACAGGACACAATAATGAGCCACGCTCTTGTGTTTCAAAGTTATTAACAGCTACAAGATATTTGTGCTTTATGGAAACTGGCAGAATTTTACAAATTTTAAACAACTTATTATATTCTCCATTAAATTTAAAATTTTGTTTTACAATTCACTAAAAGTTTCCAAAATCTAACTTGCATATTCTCAAGTCTGTCTATGTATGATTTAAATGAAAGTCCATAACTGTCTAAAGCATAACTTAATATGGAGTCAACCAATGCCATGTATAAACACTTCAATGTGCTGGCTGGTACTTTAAAACTTAAATGATAGATTTTTCCCAACAATATTCTTAGCTTATTATGAATAAAATCAATATGATTAAACCAAGAAAAGTGTTCATCAACTTTCATACCGAGATAAGTGACACATTTCACTCTGTCTATAGGCTTACAACTACAATTAATTAAATTATTGTGTATACAATCAAATGAATAGGACATGGTGACTGCTTTAAAGGCATATAGGGAGAGTGTATAACTAATAATTTTGTTTTATCAGCATTTAGTACTATGCCATTGTCATGGCTCCACTTGGTAATTGCATCTACATCTAGTTGAGCGAGACGACTAATTTCTTCGATTTTTTACAATTTGTACATTTTCTAAACACACATGTTTTTATTGAAATTGGAATAAAATAAGCACTGATTGCTAGAAGTTCCAATTAGGACATATTCGAATCTTCACAACGCGGACGAGCGGAGTAACATTTGCCTTTTTTAAGTATAGTATCGTTCATTGGAACCTTTTTTGTAGTTTTTTTTATTTTTATTTTAACGATTTTGCCGAAATTGCTGCTTACTGCATTTCCTTCATAGTTTGCGATAGATTTACTTCAACAATAACCAGCAACACGTTATTCACCTTAACCTCATGTCGTCCACGAAGTTTATTCGCCGGGTTAAAATTGCCACTGCGGATTTGGACGAACCAAAAAAAGCACACAATATTGTTAATGTTTCGAGTTGTTTGCTCTACGTTAGAGCCGTATCAAAACTCGTATTCAACGATTGCTCGAATAATTTATGCATGATTCAATTCGAAGAGAATCCAAAAATAGTCAACAAAAAAAAACGAGTAACGCTAGATTTTTAAATTCAGAAGACTCTGAATTTTATAGCAAGAGGACTTTGACCATAAATATATGCCTGTATGTATTGACATGTTTTAACTTTTAATATTACGATCCAAACAAACGAACTTACTAGATTAGACTATTGAGCATTACATCTAAAACTGTAATATACAAAAACATAATGAAGAAGAAATGAATTTTAATAAAGAGTTTATTTTACAAAGTAACCACTACAATATAACCTAATTTAAAAAAAATCCTAAGTTCGTGAATTAATCACAAGCTTATATAGATCTTTGAGATTATACTCCGGAAACATTCCTTTAAAGCTTCTTCTCATCTGGATTTTTAATCATAGGCTCCGTCTCTTGCCTGACCATCTCAATATCGTTGTTCACCTCGATGGGTGGGTCGTTCCAGTCCGCTTTCTCGGCTGAGCCGAGGATCATGTACACCAGGTTTGACATCAAGTAGAGCGCGGCGGCGACAAAGAATACGTAACGCCATTGTTGTTCGCTTGTCTGTAAATGTTTCGTGTTCAATTTAATAGAAGAAAAGGATGAAGTAATTTCGGAAGAAATTGGTTATCTGTCTCGGCTGCGTTCCTTGGAGAACGCAAAGAGTGGTGGTAGAGGAACTAGAAAGACGAAACGTATGCAATCAGAACAAGGAGAATGATGAAGTATTGTTACACGTTATTGTTATAAGTTTATAGTAAAAGAACCTGAGATTATTATGTAGGCGAGTTAAGTGATGTGGTGCAAACGAAAGTGTACTGTGTTGGTGAAGACAGGAGAAGCTCGAAGCCGGATAGACGAAGTTGCGGGCCTCCGCCCTCCAAGATTGGAGACCGAGGGCGGAGGTGCAGAGCCGGAGCGCATTGGGTTCGGCGCGGATGCGGAGAGTGGACAGGCTACACCGACAACGGCGGTAGTGCAGCAGCAGTGAATTTTATCACGTTGTACTTGGAGGTGGAGTTCTACTTCGTCTTGAGCGTCGGCTTCAGTCGTGCCGCTCCAAACTCGATTGGTGAAGGTGAGGTACACAGTCCAGGTAGGAGACGCGTAAACGCGAAGACCAGGTTTAGCGTGAGGCAGTCGAGGAACTGGTCATGAGGCAGGTGCATAAGCGCGGTAGGAGTAAGGCCAGATGTAGGGCTTCGAAAAAGTAATACTTCGTATATTTACTAGGTCTGGTTAAGACCAGATGCCACCAAGGTCTGTACAAGAATGACGATAATCTATGGAAGAACAGATTGTAGAGGGGTAACATATCTGTCAATCAATGCCAATATATAAAAATATAAAATAACTTGAGTGCGTTCCTGGCAATCTAGATACAAACCGTGTACCTTTCAACCTGGACACTGGCAGAATTGTCCTCAGTGGAATAGAAGCCAAAACAACAAAAAAAAAAGAAAAAAAAATGTTTAGTGAAATAGATAAATCGTACGTAATTAGCAGTGGAAAAACGAATAGCAAAATTCGGAGATACTATCTGTACGATAGAATATGCCAAGGTCAGGAGATCAGACATGAAATGTGAGTAAATTGTCAAAGTGCGAAAAATAGCTTACAATAGCAAGTTTAAGTAATTTAGACACCTAATATTTTAATAAATATTAGTTGGCACTCTTTCAAGAATTAGGAAAACGTAAGGGTGTTTACTGGAAAGCGTATAATGAGAGAGATGAAAATGATAGGGGTCCATTTCACACTACAATGTATCTTAATTTTCATTCACTTTTACTAAAAGTTGTAGTAATTAATTTAATTTAGCAAATTATAAGTAAGTAGTTGATCGGAATCAAATAATAAGTACTCTAATACATTTTTACTTGCACTGTACCTACCTAATTTATGTAAAACTGAGTTTAACCTAATTGTAATACACTTCGCGGAATGGAGACCTAGTGACCTGGTGGTGGTATAAAAAAGTCATTTTCATGACATTCTCAAGCACCTATCCGTCGCAAATATGGTTTAATGTTAAAACTTACTAGTCAGTCAGCATTTACATAAATTACCTTGTATGTTAAAAGAAACTATACAAAATTATTAATATTCCATTAATTCTTATAAAAGGTATTATTTGTTGCTGAAAATTGCGACTTTTTTCTTATATGATGTGGTAATTCATTATGTCCATTTAATTACTACACCAGGAGACAGTAGTGTGATACGTATGTTTGTAAATAACACATCGAGGTTAATTGTCTCTCGAACAATGATCAATAATAATAATAAATTTGTAAAATACGTAATTTAGATCCGAAAAAATAATTTCATTTCCAGTGTGAGCAATTCAGAAACCTTAGAACTCGATATACAATAAGTATAAGATTGGTGCTCGACCTCGATCGTACCGGTCCATACCATCTTAAATGTCCTTGTATATACAGCACGCATGAGAAAAATACTCACGACATCTGTGAGGATGAATCCAGCCACTATCGGTGCCTGGGAGCCCACGCAGTTGGCGACAAAGTTGCTCAAGCTCATAGTTGTCCCCGCAAAGTTCGGCGTCAAGTCTATGTGATTCAACTGTTGGCATAACACGTTGTGTGTGAGGATAACAAAATGCGGATTTGTTGCAGACCTCGTCATTTCGTGTGCATTGCAACAATACATATGTGTTTACAATGCGTAATATAAGCTTGTCGAGCGCTGTGTTGTTTCCTTGCATTGCGATTGAAACAAGAATGTTAGTCTTTATTTTTAATATCAATGTTGTGGGCAATATTGAAGCAATTAATATCAGTGAAAGAAAAAATGTTTCTTTCATTCAATAACGCCGTTAATGTAGGTACACTACACTAGAGGGAATCACAATATTACAAAAGAAAAAAATACTTTGGGGCCTGATCATTAATATAATGAAATAAAAATCTTACCATAAAGCCAACCTGAGAGGCAATCTTAGTCGCGCAGATGAAGACAAGTAAAGACTCGACAACGTAAATGTTTTTCGGAGCGTATGCCAAGGCAACAAAGCCTATTGATGCAGGGACGCAGCCTGAAACAAACAGTTTAACGAAATAATACGTATTTATAAGAACTTTAATTTGGTTATTATACCAAACTTGATGACTTAGTTTGGTGTCAAGAGAATTTGTGAATTATGACAATAAACGAAGCAATAAATTATTACATTACGTGTTTATGCAAATAAATATCGCTTTTTAAAGATATAACGAATAAAAATTGCGTTTAGCTTGGCTACTTATGCAGAATAAATGTCTTTGGACCATGAATTTTAAAGTATCTTCCTTCATTTACAATTTTTTAATTTAAATGAAATATTTCCCATTGTTTGCGCTTATGAGCAAATAAGAAGTGCCTATAGATTTTTGTCGTTGAATACAAAAGTAAATGTTATATTGACAAGTAAAAAAATCACCAATGAAGTTTGCAAGTTTCCTCGCGTTAGTGACGCTCAGGTATTTCTTGATGATGATCATGTCCGTAAACCAATTGAAAAAGAAGCTCGAGAACCACATCATCAGAAAGGGAAGGGCTGTTAACAGGCCATTCTGGAATCAAGATAACATATTCTTAAATAGAGATCAAAAACAGTTACTTAGTTAGTACTGGTTCTCTTAATTTTGTGCGCAAAGTCTGTTACCAGCTTCAACTTAGCCCAGAAATAGGATCAGTTTGATTAACGAGTTTTGTAAATTTCGTTCATTGACTTATTTTCAAAATAATGTAGTAAAACTTACAGCTTTAATATCGACGTGCATGACTTTTGCCATAAACGACGGTACTTCGGTGAACAACGTGATTTGTCCGTATGATTGACCATAGTGAGCAAAAATCATCGCATAAACAGCACGACTGCGTAATATTTTTGCCCAGGGAATTGGCATTTTTTTCTGAAATCGGAAGAAAAACATTATTGACATGACATGACAAATTAATCACGGTAGCTTTATGAGATCTTCGAGTACCTCATCCAAACTGGAGATTGCGTGGTATTTTGCGATATTGTATTTACGTCTTTGGTACATACTCAGTTTGCTATTCATGTATTTGTACTATCTAAACAAGCACATTCACCAACAAGAGCTTCTCTTGCATGTTTTTGTGAGTTAAGATTTGGTTATTAATACTCACCGCGCCGGCCTTTATTCCTATGCCTTCCTCGATATACTGTCTTTCTGAGGCAGATATTTTCGGATGTTGCGCAGGAGTGTCCGCAATAAAGTAGAAGACAACACAAGCGCACAGGCCGGACAGGATGCCGTAGAAGCGAAAGATACCTGGCCAGCCCACGGGCGACGCGGCGATGAAGCCAGTTATTGGTAAGCCGATTACCAAGCCCAATGCCTGACCTGAATAGGGATAGAGACTTGAAATCCAAAGTATCATGTATCCGTAGTGGAAGTGGCACGTTATGCACACACACGAAGAATATGGGCATTGCTGTTCTTACCTTATATTTTCGATAAGTATAGAGAATATACTTCTAAAGCACACTGAAATCAGCCATAGGAAAATACGGCCGTATAAAACTAAGTCAGGTCTAAAATATAAAATTTTACAAAGCGATTAAGTGTCATTCACGAGTCAAATGATTTCTCAATAGCAATAAAATGAATAGTTATGTACAAATAAAGAAAATATATACCCCCTTGAGCAAACCCAACCAATCTTGCCCTTTCTTCTAACGGTGCCCATTTGCCGAAGAAAGAGTGTATGCCAGGCACAATACAAGCTTGAGTTAATCCTTGCAAAAGCCTGCAGATCATTGCACAAATCCAACCACCCTGAATGTGAAAAACAGTTTGGTGTGACTAAAATACTTTTAATATAAATTACTGTTTTCCAATAAAGATTGACATAATTTTAATTTTAATTTGATAAAGTAATTAATTTAATTTAGATGTTGTATAAGTACAAACACGCATTCCATCGTCGGCCAAATCGTAGCCAGACATCAGACGAGGTTGTGGCCAATAAGTGTGTGTTTATTTTACATAAAAAAATCTGACTAAATCATTTGAAAAGTTTAAGTATCGTATAATAATAAATTTATATCAAGTACATACATACTTCAACAGAGCATGTGGTAACAAAACGATTTTAAAATGCTTTTACTTGCACAATTACACATGATTCAAATTCAGTCTAACGAATTTCGCACATTGAGGGCGGCACGTGCGCCGTTGAGCAGTTTCCATATAAAATTATCAGCCGTGGGTCATCGAACTAGTATGGAAACCACCTAGCGCTGCTTTGCGTACATAGTATGCAATCCATGGAAAGGTAAATGACACTAAGCTGTTGACACCCAAAGCTGCAGTTAAGAAACGTCGAGCCCCAAACATGTGAACTAATTGGCCGCCTGGTATTTGCATTATCATGTAGCCCCAAAAGAATGATGACTGGACTGTGTCTTGAAGCTTTTTATTCCAATAAAACTTGGGATACTGAAATAATTACCAAGTTATAATGAATTAAAACAATCAAGAAAATAACAATTTAGTTACAGTATTGAACTCACTTACAGGTGACGCCAAGAGTAAAGCACTGAAAAATCCGTTGACCTTGAACTCTTTGCTCTCAGTGAAATTTGCAACTGTTTTATTTTCTTCAAGTTTATTGAATTCAATATCGGTATCATTATAATTTTCAAATATCGGAAATTGTGTAGTGTTACCGGAATTAACATGTGTCTCATCAAATGCTGTATCGCTGAGTTTAGTGACATTTGAGGTAACTTTCGTAGTAGCTTTGAGGTTATCGTCAATCATTTCCACCAATGCCACGCCCATGCAGGCTCGCATGCTGTATGCGGTTGACAGGCAAAGAAAAATTACTAAAGTCTGTTGATGTCTGTAGCCATAGTCTGAAACTAAATAAATTTAAGGTTAGATTAGATAGATTCTTAAAATTTGAACTGTGAATTTTTTCTATGACAACCATAATATATAGAAAACTTCTTCGACCCGAGTGGGATTTGAATCCATGACTTTATACGAACTGAGGTACAGGTTAAGTTATTGAATTGACTAAATTCTCCTATAGGTTCTTGATATAGATCTTTGAGCAGGTATTTGGTTTTCGGCGCCGTAATTGTTTTTATAACAATTGTTTTAGTTCCATATTTCTCAATAAATGTCTAGTTTTGTTATCTTCATAATTTTTACAATATTCATCTCTTTTAGAATTACATTAATAAAATTCTATTTTTACTCACTTTTAAATTTACTATTCCCATCAATGATATCCGGATTGTCATGGCCACCATTTTCAATAAAACTTTTATCACTCTCAATCATAATTAGTTTCACGTTATCCTTCGAAGTTAACTGAGATCTACACGCCAGCGCAGCAGTGATAATAATTACGCATTGTTGATTTAAGATTTAGTTATCTTATGTAAATGCTGATTAGTTGCCTTTGTTATTTGATTAATAAAATTATGTACTGTTTTCCTGTTTCCTTCAAAAAAATCTATTTATTATGTGACTTTGTATATTTATTTTAATATATTCGATTACCAAAACTAAATGATATAAAAAAGATCTAATGTGAATAGCGGATATCATGAAATGTTTGATGATAGGTATTAGATGAACGCGAAATAGCAAAGTAGAAAGTACTACTACGTAATTAGAGAAGTTCATGAGTCACCTAAGTTACATAATGTTACTAAACATCATAATTATCACGTCATGACGCGTATACGTCATTTGTCAGTGGCAGTGTTGGTTGAGCAATAAAAGTTACACGCCAAATACAGAAGGGCTCTTTCATGAACGAATTGTATTCTCATTATCGGCCTCCGTGGTCGAGTGGCTTGCATTTCGGTTTTCATGGTGTCGCCATCTCTGAGATGCCGGGTTCGATCCCCGGCCAGGTCAGTGTAGAAAACTAACTTTTCTATATTGTCTTTGGTCTGGGTGTTTGTGGTACCGTCGTTGTTTCCGATTTCCATAACACAAGTGCTTTAGCTACTAAGCACCTTCGATCAGATCAGAGCAACGTATGTGATTTTGTCTAATATTCATTTCATATTTCATTTAATTCAATAGCAATTTTATGAAAATTTCTTTGGATTTTTCATAAACATTGTTCTCATATACCTGCACGAAAAAGTGACATAACTGCTAAGAATTCTATTTGCTACAACTCACTCTGTACGTAGACCCACTAATAGAGGCTTAAGAATAAACTACTCAGGAAGTGGAAATTAAGACCAAGTATGCAAACTTAATAGGGGAGTGGCACAAAAATTTGATTAGTTAGTTAGTTACTCAGCAGTGGATGAAGTCAGGCTGTCTATTATGATGACGAAGCAAACTTAATTAACTAAATGCTATGGCATTATAACTATTTCTATGATTAGAGTTTAAAATTGTACGAAGTTCCTTTCCATTATTATTTACGAAACATTGAATTTAAGCAACTAAAAATATATATGTGCCTTTATTAGAGAAACCAATTTTCATTGACTTCTAACTTACCAAAAATAAATTGTTTAATAGGTAAATGTGGCCGCTGAGTGGCATCCTCTTTGACATTTTTTTAGACGCCTGTTGTTATTCCAAGAGAAAACACAAGTGCTATGGACAGGCGTGTTGCTTACCACCAGATGCACTATTTGTTCGTCCCGTCGATGGGTATCATAGAAAACACTAAAATTAAAAGGTCCGTCTATGTCGTTGTTCCTCCTCGTCGGAATTACGTCATCATAGATCAAGGGTCAATAGTGTAACTCTATTGTGTCTTGTGGCACCCCCAACTTTGAAGGCGTGGTTACTTTTGATACACAGAAAAAAAGGATTTCTACTAATAAGAAAGAGCAATTTCTCAAAATATTTGCTAATTCTGAAAATATATTTATTAAAAGTAATAAAATATTGTCATTACAAACATACTTAATCTTATCTTTTTCTAATACAATTTTACTCTTAAGTTTATTCTAACTTTTAGACAAATACGTTCACTTTAAGATTTTATTTAATTTCTAATAAATTAATTACTTATATCAAGAAATTTTTACCTCTTACATCAAATTTAAATAATCTTAAATTAATTCAAAATTATTTGGGTGTATTTTAAGAAAATATATTCTTAAACAAAAACAGAAGTAGTTTGCTATTCAGATTAATATTCTAAATTCTAGAGTATATTCTTAAAGCAACATTTCGTTGCGTTTTCATAGTCAATGTTGATGAGATATGTCGCCGAAGGCGCACGCGGTAACGATTACTTTTGCTTGTGCTTGTAATCATAAAAATTATAAACAGTCATTTAGCCAATAAAACAATACGTAGTATCTCTAGTTTGTTAGGATGTTATTTATAGTCATAATTTAAGAAATTTGGTTACTGTATGAAATCAAACTACACTTGTAACAAGCACAACTTTAACATGCAATTAGTTCCATCACGCTACTGCTAGATGGCATTAGTTATACTCTGAAACGCGCTATCGTTTCGTTAACTTCAATAGTATAAAGTCATCTCATATATTTGGAATTGTTAGTGCTTTCTGCCGCTGTAGCATTTATACGGCACTGAATGGTCCTTAATCAATTGAGAAGATTCCGTCCTATTTCTGCTACTTTAAGGTTTGGCACTGAACCGTGTGCTTTCACTCCAGTGAGACATACTGTTGGGTCCATAACCCTGTAAATTTACTCTTTTTGATATTAGAAAACATAAACCTTCAGGCAAATAATTAAGTATCTCTCAATTTTTCATTCTTTTTTTTTCAAGTCAAAGTAGGACATTTCTAATAACTAATAAATATTTTGTTGAATCTAGAGTGCCTTTGTGACTTGAAGTAAATTAATTTGCTCTTGGATTAAATATTTCTGTCTTGTAACTAAAATACACTTTTGAGACGTTTTTTTACTATTATCAAGTAATTATTCTCTAGCGTCTATAGAGAGAGGATTTTGTTGGATTTAAAAAATATGTCTTCATAAAAAGAATTTTGTCTTTTTCTAAGTAATCTGTTTTTACTGTGTAGGTATTTACTAATGATACTTGGCAGATTGATTGGTAAAAAATATATTTATTGACATATTTTTGAGCAATACACATGCATAATTTGTACGTGAATGAGGTGGTGCGTGCTTCACCTCTCAATACCTCAACACCTCTAACTATGGAAATAATTAAGTTGAAATAGATGAAAATGTTGCTCAATTCCTCCTCAGCACCAAACTGGTAGCGCACGTTTTACCCACAGCACAATGATATCGATGCTGGAAGTTCGGTCACATAAAAACAAGATGCACTTCAACAAAAATAATCTGCCCTAAATGTGATGGTTTTCACGAGATCGCTAACAATTGTAGATATGTTTGTTATGGCAAGTCCATCTCAAAAACTCCCAATCTATCAGGAACAAGGCACAAATAAGCTGAGTATTGTTTTGCAGCGCAAAGTGATTATTTCAGCCAATAAAAAGGTTGGTGTCTTACTAAATAGATTTAGCACATTATACGTAAAGAAGTATATTATTTTCTCATTACTGAAAGGCTGAGAAAATGGACCTCAGAATAAAATAGAATATTATCGATTATCGAATATTACAATGTATGAAGAAAACTACACGCTTTAGTGAAACAAAAACTTTATACTAAAGGTTATTGTACAACTTCTGCTTACTTGAATGACGAAAATCCGTGGTAGTAACCCGTTTAGCTCATGGAGGTAGTCTCGATCTCTGATGTTTCAAATTAAAAAAAAATATTGTAAATGTTATTTACAAAGAGCAACCCCTAGAGTTTCTTGCTCATTCTTCTCAGGGGAATCTGCCTTACGAATGAGCGGTAGAGTTTAACGATTTCAAGTGTAATAATGCTTATCTATGCAATAAAGATTATTTTGAATTTGAATTTTGAATTTGAATTTTGAATTTGAATTTTGAATTTGAATTTTGAATTTGAATTCTGAATTTGAATTTTGAATTTGAATTTTGAATTTGAATTTTGAATTTGAATTTTAAATTTGAATTTTGAATTTGAATTTTGAATTTGAATTTTGAATTCGAATTTTGAATTTGAATTTTGAATTTGAATTTTGAATTTTGAATTTGAATTTTGAATTTTGAATTTGAATTTTGAATTTGAATTTTAAATTTGAATTTTGAATTTGAATTTTGAATTTGAATTTGACACGCAGATTAACATACTTATTTATTTATTGATCAGGAACACCAACAGCTTTAAACACTTTATAAAATCAGGAATTATATTCGTATAATATATGTAACATATAGCCAATTACAGGTTTCCAACTATAGTTTCTGACAACTCAAACACGAGCCTTAACAAATCAAACAATAAACAGTAAGTCATTGCATTGACAACATGCACTTACATAAAGGTAACAACCCAACACCTGCGTCAACAACCAAAAATTACTCAATGAAAGTACATTCAATGGTCAAAGTCAAATCAAATAAGAATTTGTTCCATATGTAAAAGTTTTACACTAGAAAACGTCTTTTTTTTCTCGTAGATTGTGCCAACTTCTCTGAGAAGAACGAGCAAGAAAATCTAAGGATTGCTCTTTAAAATTAAAAAAAAACTTAAAAGCTTTAGAATACACTTTCGTCATATTTGTAAGGAATCTAAACTTATGTTGTCTTTCCATACATACAGGTTCGATTCCCGGACCGGGAGAAATATTTTTATGGGCTACACTTATTTCTCTCGTGAGTTTGGGTGTAATTTGTGGTTGTCTATGTGTGTGTCTATGGCATCCGCGACACAGGGTTTTCTTAGTGCGGGGATAGCCCCGCACCTACCTATCATAGGATATACCTATCATAGGATAGGTATAAAAAAATAAAAATAATAAAAAATAAAATTGTTTATTCAGTAACATAATGTACAGAGAAAACTAAAGACTACTTATGCGATTTAATGTCAAAATAACACATGTACCTGAACTATGAAATTCCTGTATTTCAGGTAAAAAGTACTACTAATTATAAATGTGGATACTATTAATATTATAAATACTTTTTAGGAGAATCTTATGAAATAAAATTAAACAATTAAATAATAAATTGCCAATAAAAAAAAAAAAAAAAAAAAAAAATATACGTGTATACGTGTGGTATATACGTGCGTTATTATTATTATTATTTCTTTATCTAACACGTAAACTAAAATTTTGTAATATGACTTTTCAATTAGGGTACTTTTAAGTTTTAAACTTAGAAAATGGTAATCTTGATATATGCTCCGGAA